TAAACTTGTGAAATTAAATTTGCGCAACTTTTTTTTAATTATCCAACTTAATAATTTCGATCGCATTAATAAATCACATGTTAGGTGTGGCTGACTTCGCCACTAACCTGGCACACATTCAAGACGTGCCCTACGGAGTTATTATACCGTCATCATTTGATTAATTTTGAGTATATGTATTCCGTGGCTAATGTTCTCGATTTTAATTTGATTAAAATTTTGCTTGAATTTATGAGCAAGCATTTTTTTTTCGTTAACTATTATTTAAGACACATTATGCATATTAAATTTATCGTTATATTAAACCTAATTTCACATTCTGATTGGCTTCCTATATTACCCTCGTAACTTTTCTGTGTCAATTTTTACATATTTTTAATTTCCTATTATCAATATAATTTTATTATTCTTTCGTATAACCTACAGTATTATTAGAATAGTGAAACCTGAATTGCTTAGTATATAAACGTAAATCAAAAATCCGCGGATTTTTATTTGGGTTTCACACTGTTATCTTTGTCTTGATCGTATTTGTATCGTAGTACGTCAGAAAACCTTTAATTTAAATGATAAAAATAAAAATAAAAATTGATTGATAGATCTATGTTAATCTTGGGTAATAGCGTGAGATGAAATTGAAAGGCAAAGCTTTGTTAATCATATAAAAAGAAAATAAAAATTATGAGTGGCCGTGCCTTGAATTGTGTCTGAGTATAGTTTACTCAAGAATCTTTAAAGGGAATCCATTCTACCGTGTCCAATATTAACTGCAGATCCTTTCTCACGCATTTAAATTTAAATCTCTTGAGTTCATCCTAGTTAAAGGTTCTTTTTTCTTTAAGGATGTTCTGAATGATTTTTTATATCTTACTACATACCTGCTGAATGCCGTATCATACAGTATATTCCATATCTTATACTATAAACTTACTTTATATTATCTTTACGGCCCTGCATTATCACTTATGCCATATATACTAATATTCGTGTACACACTTCTTTATTTGTAATCTTCTTTCGTTTACTATCAGGTTAAACTTAGCTGAATGTAAAGGATAGGCCTCCTCGATAGTAACGCTCGTTTACATACCTCACGTACAATAGTAATTATCTTTACAAAACAAATCTCTAGTTTACTCTTTTTTTCTAGTTATTTTGTTAATATTTAGATCTTTGTAATAAAATTTTTTATAAACGAAGACAAATTCATCTTTAGAAAAAATAATAAAATAAAAAATCATTAAATTATGCTTTTATCCTTCTTTTAAAACAAAGACTCTTAATCTTAATTTTGAAAAACTCATATTCAAATAACAGAATTTTTTTTTTTTATATTAAAATTGATAGTAAAAAATTTATTTCTTCGCACAAAAAAAATATACAGAATTGTTACTCCGATATTATTTTTTTACACTACTGATCTGTATACATATAATCTTCTCCATGAAGATATAATGCCTCTGCGTTAGCTGAGTCAATTTCTAAACTTGTGTTTAAATCCTCAATTGATTCACATAAAATCTTAGCGAAAGTTAATAAAATAACGATAGCATGAGCATGACGTGGGATTGATGGGAAATTCCTATTTTCAGAATAAACTGAGGGAAGGTTTAATACATGTTAGTCACATTCTTGACCTTGAATTTCGACATCTGCCATAATTTAAGAATTTGTAAATATTAAAAAACCAAGAAAGTGGTGATATAAGAATTAAAAATTATTGAAGCAAAGAAGACCTACTAGTGGCGGTTCTGTTCATACTAACTAATGTGTCGTTCTCACTGAACACATTGTAATTAAATGTTGGAAAAAAGTTGTACGATAAAATTAGCCACAATAACAATATTTCTTATTTACTGAGCATCAATTTCACTTGCTAGCTTCTGTATTCCACCAAACATATGTATTCCAGCTCTCACTCCTACAGCATAACTTATATCCACTCGTATGCCAAACATTACGTATTTAAGATTAAATCTTCAAGTGAGTTGTTTGATAAATTGGAGCCTTTGTATAGATTGATTTTTTGGTTTGATTGAAACGAATATTGATTCATTTGAAATGATAATTATTTTCAATTTGTTTCAGTCTGTTGATCAGATTAATAAATTAGTATGGATAAAAAACACGTATGACTTTTTGACGCACTTCCAGCTGCTTCAAAGCTGGAGATAACTTTACTAAGGTAAATATTATAATAACATATATGAACGCTACTTGCCTACTGAAAGAACACCAAAGTTTTACTGGTGATGAGGTTCAAGAAGTTGAGTAGCAGTGAAGTAATTAATTTATCAGAGATGTGATTTGTATTTTTTTGGTGAGAGTTTGTTTAGGCTAGAAAATTGAGTGTATTTATAGGGTGGCTGCGAACGCGTTGGTGCAAACCAAAAAGGAAATTTTCATGTGTAGCTCGTAAGATCAGGTGTTCATATATTGATAATACTTAAACAAATATGATGATAAAATTTAACGTTAAGCTCTGGTTTACCTTGAGTGATCAGAGTAACTCGAGTATAGTTGTTAGGAGTTTCACGTTGGCGAAAGTCAAAACCCTAGTTTCGACTTTTATCAAAAAATGGTAAAAATAATGAACTAACGAAACTAAAGTATTGTCTTAATTTATAACTTGGTATAATTACTTCTTTCTATACCAAACTCTTATATTCAAATGAGAAGTCTATGCTTTTTGTTTTTTAAATAGTAGCAAACCTATGTTAAAAATAGACTAAACTATGATTTTTTGATGAGAAATCAGAATACATATTAAAATTACCTAATACAATAATATTAATTAAAGATTATCAGGGTTGTTAATTGGTGTATCATATACCGGAGCACTCTGACTTGAACCCAAACCAGACTGGAGTTATAAAATACATTAAATAGAATAGTTAATTCAGTTTGTGGAAAACTAGAGACAAATCTGGAGTATCTTAGTACTCCAAGCTGGTTGGCCCTGGTTTATGCTGTGTACATCTATTTACCCATCAAGATCAGACAATTAGGGTTTAGGGCACAGGGGCATGAGGCATGCCTCTAAGGGCATGCCCCTAGAGCATGCCTATGGGCATGCCTCAAGGCCAAAAGGCATGCCCTTGTTATGTGATTTATAAAGAATATTTTGATTGGTTAATAAGGTTAGATACTAAATCAACATATGGGGGTGTCAATAGAAACCAAGCAAATTGTTTCCAAATAAATTTTTTAAACATTTAGTTAAGGTATCTAAACAACAAATAAAAAAAATTTTATCAAGTATGGTTTAATAGTTGTTTAGATATTTTAACTCAATGTTTAAAAAAATTTACTTAAAAACAATTTGCTTGGTTTCTACTAAGGCCATACAAATAAAATTATTCGTTTCTCATCCATATAAATAGTAAAATGTGACCCGGCCGCCCGGGAAATAAATTTATTTTTAAAAAAAATTAAACCTTTTCTAAAATATGATTGGTTAAAAAAAGATTTTTTTTTTCACCCGGTAAAACATTTATATTTTAGCTATTATCATAATTCATTGAAAATTTGCCCAAATTATTTTTCTGCCGATCCGGTTAAGCTATAGATTTTGGGAATAATAATGATAATAATAAGATTTAGTAACAGATATATCATCAGATGACTAATATAAAACTTATATTTCAATAAGACTAAATGTCGACATGCAATTCCCATTATTTGGTAAGATCTATTTCGCTCAAACAAAGCCTTTATTCTTTTTCGACAAAAATACAGGTTTAAAAAATTTTATAAATTTCCAATTCTATTCTTTGGCAAGATCCATTTTCGTCAAATAAAGGCATTTATTCATTTCTAATTATTTTTGTTTCTAGTTGAAAACAAAAAAATTCGGGTTTAAAAAATTGAATTAAATTTCGATTCCTATTCTTTGGCAAGATCCATTTTCGTTCAAACAAAGGTTTTTATTTATTTCTAATTATTTTTTGTTTCTTGTCAAAAACAAAAAATTCGGGTTTAAAAAATTGAATTAAATTTCGATTCCTATTCCTTGGCAAGATCCATTTTCATTCAAACGAAGCCTTTATTCATTTCGAAGATGAAAAATTCGGTTTTGAAAAATTAAACTAAATTTCAATTCCTATTCTTTGGCAAGATACAATTTCGTTCAACCGAAAGCATTTATTTATTTCTAATTATTTTTTGTTTCTTATAAACAAATATAAACAAATAAAACTATTTACAATTCTTAATGCATTCTCAACAAATATTAATAACATCTTGGTCGCATTTTTAAACCAGTCGATCATATGGACAGCGTCAATCAAAATGTAGCATAGTGAGATTGATTATTTTCCAAAATTGTTACACAAAATGATAAAAAATTAGGGCATGTCTAATTGTAATCAAAATACGAATATTTTTAATCATTATCAATATTTTTATTATAAACAACATGTTATGATTAGACATGACCTAATTTTTTATCATTTTGTGTAACAATTTTCGGAAAGTAATCAATCTCACTATGCTATGTTTTGATTGACGCTGCCTCATATTTAACTTTTTAATAACGGCACCTGTTCGAGCAATATATTTGTTATAAAAGTCTAATTTATATTCGATTTTTTCTTGTTAAGGTTTATTGGTTGACATGAACAATTTTTTCCATAAATTTTCGTACAAACTAAAGCACACCAAGCATTTTTGGACAAGCATTCGGACGAAAATTTAAAATCGTTGACATTATTGTTATGACAATCATAAAATGATCAGTAATTATTTTATTATACGGATCATAATCATGCCGAATCAATAACTTAACCGGATCGGCGGAAAAATCATTCGGGCAAATTTTCACAGGTGTCCCAGGAATTATGATAATAGCTATAAAAAAATAAAATTTTTTTCTCTTTCATAATATTTATGTGACCCGGCCGGGGATGAAAAACGAATAATTTATTTGTATGGCCTAATACCTTATATAAAGTTTTTAGCATGTTGCAAATTTGCAAATTATATGTTAGTCACATAATTTAGAAAGGGCATGCCTCAGCACAAGGCATGCTCCTGTGGGCATGCCTAATTTTTTCCTGTGCCCTAAACCCTAAAAACGATCTAAGCATACCCAACCAATCAAAATTCATTATGGATTAAGATACATGTAAACAATTTTTTAAGATTTTGAGCAAAGTTTTCTCGATAAATACCTAACCAAATTAAATAAAATTTTTTTATTTTAATTCAACATATTCATATAATTAAATAAAAAATAATTCATCAAATTTTGTAAAGTATGTATCAAGAAAACTTTGCTCAAAGTTTAGAAAGAATCAGTTTTATAGTAAATTAAGTGCTTTTGAATTTTTTAAAACTTTGAGCAAAGGTTTCTCAATAACTACAAGACCAACTTAATGAATTTTTTTTATTTTAATCCTATACATTTGTAGAAAATTATCATCGAATTTGGTCAGATGGTTATTGAGAAATCTGTGCTCAAAGTTTTAAAAAATTCAAAAACTGATAGATGAAACTAATTCTTTCTAAACTTTGAGCAAAGTTTTCTCGACATGCACTTGACCAAATTTGATGAAATTTTTTTTATTTTAATTCTACAAATATGTAGAATTAAATAAAAAAATTTTTATCGAATTTGGTCTTGTAGTTATCAAGAAAGTTTTGCTCAAAGTTTTAAAAAATTTTAAAAGCACTTCATTTACTGATAGAAAATTCTAAACTTTAAGACCAAATTTGATTAATTTTTTTATTTTAATTATACACATTCATATGATTAATATAAAAAAATTTTTACCAAATTTTGTCAGGCATTTATCGTTCAATTTTTTAAAAAATTCAGAACCACTTAATTTACTAACAGACAGGACAGATTATTTTTAAACTTTGAGCAAAGTTTTTTCAATATATACCTAACCAAATTCAACAAAAATTTTTTTTAATTCTATGAATATGTAGGATTAAATAAAAAAAAATCCATCAAATTTTGTTAGGTAGTTATCGAGAAACCTTCACTCAAAGTTTTAAAAAATTCAAAACAATTTACTATAAAATTGATTCTTTCTAAACTTTAAACAAAGTTTTCTTGACATATACTTTACAAAATTTGATAAATTTTTTTTTTTTTTTTTATTTAATTATACAAATATAATAGAATTAAATAAAAAAATTTTGGCCTAACCATAGTTTGGTTTATCAGAGGTTTTACATATAAAAGTAAATTACAATTAGAGAGTTTAAATGGGTAGCTTTGTAGTTTGAGTTGCAGGTATGGCTAGTACTCTCCATTGAGCTGGCTCAAATAGGCTTATAGAAATTTTGGTCTGGCTCGTTTTTGGCTTGAAAGGCTCATGAGCTTTAGTACAAATTACATAATGTTTATCACGTGACTTTCACGTGATTTTTATATGACAAATATTATAATTTGATAAAAAATCATATGAAAGTCATGTGATAAATAGTTACATGATTTGCACTAAGACTCACGAGCCTTTCAAGCCAAAAACAAGCCAGACCAAAATTTCTCTAAGCCTATTTGAGCCAGCTCAATGGAGAGTACTAGGTATGGCAGATAGTGTAAAACTCTAAGTAAAATAGCTTAGATGCAGACTACTAAATTAGACACTAAAAGTGTAATGTGGCTTGATATACTCTCATTGTAATAGAAACAATAATCTTTAATAAATACAAATACTGACATGGCCAATGAGGTTATTATTCAAAATAAAAAAAAATAAATAAAAAAATTTTATTGAATTTGGTCAAGTATTTATCAAGAAAATTTCGCCCAAAATCTTAAAAATATGCAAAAAATTATTTACATATATTTTAATTTATAATGAATTTTAATTAGTTAGGTATGCTTAGATTGTTTAACAGTTGGTTTACAGTTATGTAATTGTTGGAAAACAAATATTGTCAACCCTAAAAAACATTGTTTATATTTGGGTTTTAAGCTAAGAGGATTAGAAAAAATAGCTAT